ATCGAACCGGCTCAAACAATACTAGATAATTATAACGAACAAGGACTTGGTCTAGTGATAATACCATTAGCCTAGAATCTGGAGGTTTCAGGTTCTAATACATTAAGTAGTATCTTAATCACAAAAATAAAACCTATATAACTCCTATAAAAAAAACAATACTATATAATAATAAGTCGCCTTTGTTTACGTAAAAATAATCAAAACCACATTAGCCATGCATGTACACCAGGTCTCTAAACATTAAACTCCAAGATCAAATATACTAAGCACAGTGAAGGATGGTTTTGATTTTTGATTCGTCGAGATTAGGGATGACATTTATCTATCCATGTGTAATTTTTATCCAAACTCAATTAGGCCAAATGAATATGAATAGGGTATGGGTGAAGTATATATTGGGTTTGGGGGTTTGGAGATGGGGTTAGGTGATATATGGATATCACTTTCATAGTCTAAATGGGTATGAGTTGGTATGGATACACATTTTTTGAGAGTGTTTAAACAATGCATCCAAAAATTGGACTTATTTGTACAAAATAAAAAAAGTTTAGCTATCAAAATGTAATACACAAAAATTTTAGGTACTAAAATGAAATTTTCTATCTATATTTTGAGGACTTGTATGGAGGAAAAATAAATTTTAGGTACTAAATATAAAGATTTATTAAGTTTAGATATCAAACTTTAATTTACATATGAATACAAACTACAAATCCGTAGATTAAATATCCAACACAACCAAAATAAATGGGTATGAGTATAAACCCATTAAATTCTACCTATTTACAATGTGTTTTGATTTTATAGCCAACCCAATTTGGTTGAATAGTAAAATCTCCATAGGTGTGGAGAAAATTGACATCCTAATCGAGATATATGTATGCACTATGTTAGGTTTAGAGAACTAGGGTACATATAATTATATATGGTTTAGTCACTTGAGTCAGGATATAGTACCCCAAATTCTTAATAATTCATGGGATAGATAACGTTAGTGTACTACAATATGCGATAATAAATGGACGGTGGAGATTGTTGGTGTATGACATACCTCAGTTTTTGCCTGGTGTACGATAGAAGTGTGAGACCCATTTTCTTCACCGGATCAAAGTCAAAAAGGATCGACCCGCAGGTTGACAACCTCGATGTAGGACCTAATTGTACCAAATAATTGGGAGGATTGATTGCATATTTTAACCAGGGATGATGATGGGTTAGATAGTGACATAATTTGATAAGATAGCTCACTGACTACCATTAAGTATAGTATAGTTTTTTTCTGATGACTCACGTTTCATATGCCTCCAAAGAAGTTGTGAAAAACCATGAAAGATATGCTAGATTTGCACTTGCAACTTGGGTAATATCTTCAATTATTAAAATTGATAATCCCGCTTATATAATAGCCGTGAGGCTTAGAGTACTGAGCACCTCATCAGTACCTTGATTTGCCATAACACATTTTAGAAGATCAGCTTATATATATCAAAACTAAGAGCTATAGCCATGCGTATTGCTATTATTATGTCGTCTTCCTCATCTCCACTATCACTTGATCTCTCAGCTTCTGCTGCTAAGGCGTCAGCCAGAAAGCCAACCGGCGGCGGAGTGGATCGCGTCTTACCGACAACCTTCGCTAGCACATTCTGGGGCCATGGCTTCCTCAACAAAGTTGATCTCTCCCACCAGGTACACTAATTTATATCTTTTTTATTACTAGCAGATGCTTGGTGTTCTTGTTACAGGTTAGTTCCAGCCAGTCGAGTTACATTGTTGGAAAAGATACAATGATAATGCATTTTAGTTCATGTGTAGAGTTTTGTTATAATTTATTTTATTCTTAAGATGATACAAAAGAAATAAAATTATATTTTCTGAAATAAAAATAAAAATATGGTAAGTATGATCTCGTATTTGGAAATAGCTTTTCACAGAAGTCACACATCGGAGATTCTACTTTTATGTTATACAAAAGCAGTTTTGAAACTTTTTAAAAGCCAAGCTTTTAGAGGTGTTTTGCGCTATTTCAACTTTTGAAAATGAAAAGCATTTCTAAAAGCTGGACCAAACATATGCAATATGTTCTAAGCATATTCGAAATAATTTGAGTATTTAACTAAAAAGTACATGATCAAATGTCAAATTATCTTTTGTGTAAAATAACACATTCAAATTATATAATCATCCCAACTTTACCGACAAATAGCCCGGTCCTTATGCTAGTTGTAATAGATCCGGATACGTACAAATTGACCCGGCAAATTAAGTGCCATTTTGTTATTAACGGTGCAAGGTTATGACATTTAAAAGTAAAATCAATGTTTTCACTTTTCACCCAAGATAATGTAAAATAATCAAATAAATAAGGAAGGTTAGGTATAAATATAGCAATGGATCTAGAACAGATGAGATCTAGTTATGTAATATTTAGAAATGATGGATCCAGATCTGGCAACATACTGTAACATGCATAAATGTGATCTACTGCTTGATTTCATTTGAGGAGCATGCAACGTTAGCGAATGGTAAGCCCATTTTCCATTGGAGATGCATGAAAATCTGGAGAGAATCTAGTCAATAATATTTTTTTACTAACCCACACACATCGTTTGAGGGATGATAGAGCGAGATGGGACAGGTTAGTAATCACCGTGGTTACTAAGGGTAAATTGGGTATGGAAAAATAAATTATATTAATTGATTTTTTAATAAATTACATTTTAGGTAGTTACAAAAATCTATTAATTAAAATTCTCTCTTTCTCTCACTTTCGTGATCTCCAGCCAGATTTTCTTTCCATATTTTTCTCAAACTTTCTGCAAAAAAAAAAAAAAATCAGTACCAATCCATTAGACAAATACTACCATTTTGAAAAACATCAATACCATTGCAGAAATAAATCTATACCAATACACGAAAACTACCATTGCAGAAATAAATCTATACCATTACACGAAAACTACCAATATAAACAATCTACCAATATAAATCTATACCATTTCACTAAAAATCAATACCATTGCAGATTTAATCAATACCAGTACATGCAAATTACTACCATTACATGATAATAAATACCAATGCAACAAAAATAATACCAATGCAACAAAAATAAATACCATTACGTGAGTCGTCATCCTTCTCAGAGGCAACAGCCGCTTCGTCACCGATGAGAAGGCCACGATCGAGAGCCGATCGGCCGAGCCGAGTGAGGAGATGACTAAACGCATCGCGCGCTTCGGCATCAGCATCTTGCCGCCGGTCATGCTCCCGCTCACATCGAGAACCGTGACCAAATCGATCGGCGCTCGATGGGCTGTATGATTTTTGTTGCATCTTGCGCCGGCTGTGTGGGTCGGCGGGGGGAGGGGGTGGGGTGGGATGGGATGGGCAGGGGAGAGGAGGGGGTGGAAGGAGGGAGGGGTGGAGGAGGAAGAGAGGGACGGTGGGGAAGGGGGGAGGCTGCCGCCTGCCGGTGCGTGGGTTTGGTTGGAAGGAGGAGGGTAGAATTAGGGTTTGTGTATATATAGAATAATCCAGTGTGGTTTATTTTTTGTTTCCAAAATTATCCTTGAGCAATCATAATCGTGAGATTAAAAAAATAGGAAAAAGATAAAAATAGATGGTGGATATTGATGTAGCCAAGGTGGCTATTAAAAATTTAGTAACCAAGCTAACTCATCCCAGAGCGAGATCAAACATGTGGTCACTTGCTTGAGTCTTTTAGGGTTTCCACTAAATTCCCCATTTAATGCCTTCAGGAGCACTACAGGTCTACGGCTAACCTCGAGAGGGGTCGAACACGAGATCTCCCACTTTCTAGAACAAGCGACCACGAGGATTCCACCTATTATGTGAACTTTGGCATCTGCCATCTAGTCAATAACTTTAAAATTAGTAACGATGCATAACATTAAACTTCTTATTTGTAAAATGTAATTAACCTTTTCCCAAATAATAATTAATTTCATTTTTTACTGATAAATTAGATTAATTATACTATCCAAAATATCTTCCACTATAAAATTGAGACATATGCGCCTGCGGCACATATTCTACACAGGCAGCCTCACCAAATTAAAACACGGTAATAGATTAACTGACTAACACATGCCCTGGCTTTAGTTTGTCTTTCTTCTTTATTTCCACTGCTAGTGATCCTGTAGACTTAGCTTATTCTTATATGAGGGTATTTCAAACCCTTTCCATTAGTAGTGGTGTTCGGTTTGTTTGGTTATAACCGAAAATTGAAAGGTCGGTTATCGGTTAAATCGAACTACCTCCCGAACTTACTGACCACCGACTAAAAAAGAAGTCCTAAGGTTTCGGTTATCTCGGTTTTTGGTTAATCGAGTTGTCCCCAAGATTAAAAACATCTCGCCCATCCCTTCGAATACCGATCGATTTCCGGTTAGTGGATAACCGACCGATTTCGATTGTAATCGATCGATTAACCGCTAACCGATTGTCCAGCCCTACGTTCTATCGCTATATATAGTCGCGACTCAATCGACACCTTTCTCATCATAACACATATGTATAGCATTCGCTATCTTCTATCAAAATTAGCTATAACAACTAGTCAGCCGCCTTAAACAACTCATTTATTTGCTATATATCATGTCTTCCTCATCACTACCACTTCAGGCAGCAGCTTCCGCGGCCTCGGCTAAGGTGGCAGCCAAGAAGAAGGCAACCGCTGGCGGAGTGGAGCCGTTTTCATCAGCAAGCTTCCCCGGCACAGTCTGGCACGATGGCTTCCTCGACAAAGTTGATATGTCCCCCCAGGTTAATTGATTATTACTATGATTATTATTATTATTATTATTATTATTATTATTATTAAATGGCATATTAATTGGAAACGAAAGTTTCTTACCGTTGTTGTTCTTGACATTGGATTGTTTGTGAGATTTATCATGAACAAAAATCTAAGATGTAAAACATTTTGTTTGGATTGAACTTCTAAATCAACTTAATTTTAGACGGAACAAAGACACCAGAAACATGAACGTCTGAAGGAAGATGTGAGGAAGTTGGTGATACATGAAACGAAAAGTAGTGGAGATGACGAGGAGGCAATAGTTGCAGACAAGTTGCAGTTGATAGATGTAGTTCAACGATTAGGTGTTGGGTACCACTTTGAAGCAGAAATCGAAGAAATACTTGGAAAAGTACATGACATGGGAGAGGACTTATTCACTAACTTCGATGGCAAAGGTACTGATCTCTACCATGCAGCTCTTCGGTTCCAACTCCTCAGACAACAAGGATTTCCTGTTTCTCTTGGTATGTATATGTGCACTTGTGTTTTATTAAATTGGTTGTAATAGATGTCTAGTTAATTAACGCCTCTCTTGTATATATAATATATCAATCATATATGATCAACTGTAACGTAGATGGGTTTAGAAAGTTGAAGAATAGTGAAGGAAGGTTCAAGGAATGGCTATTGAGTGATGAGCAAGGACTATTGAGCTTGTATGAGGCAGCACACATGGCGTTCCATGGAGAAGATATATTAGATGAAGCCCTAAGTTTTGCGACAAAAAACCTTAAGTCAATCCTCCTAACAAACAAGAATACCAGCAATGCATTTCAAAGGCAAATAGAGTTTGCCCTTTTTGTTCCTGCTTGGAAATGTGTCCCAAGGTCACTTGCTAGGCACTCCATCGATTTCTACTCCGATCATCAGGATGCTTTGTTGCAGAATAAAAAGCTCCTCACATTTGCAAAGTTGGACTTCAACATGGTCCAAAGCTTCCATCAGCAGGAGCTCCGTGAACTCTCTGAGTAAGCCTCAATTAATTGGGACTAATCACTTTGCATTGTACTGTATTACGCACTAATCACCTTCATTGCTTGGTTTTAATTTTAGATGGTGGAAAAGAATTGACGTGGCGACAAAATTTCCATATGGAAGAGACAGGCTCGTGGAGTGTTATTTTTGGATCAATTGTATTTACTTTGAGCCCAAATATGGGTTGGCAAGAATTCTAAACACCAAGATCTATTCAGTGTTGACACTCTTGGATGACACTTGTGATAACTTTGCTACATATGAAGAGGTCCTAGCCTTGGTGGAAGCTATTGAAAGGTTCTTACCGCAAAACTCATATATTATCTTTGATTGTGTGAATGTATAATTATATGTACATGCATATTTCCTTCAGGTTGGATGCTAGGGCTCTTGAAGAATTACCTGACAGGATGAAGAATATATATCGTCTCACTCTAAGTGTGTATGACGAAATTGATGAAGAAGTTGGGAAGACAGGATCCATGTTTGTTGTCGAGTATGCTAAGGAAGAGGTAATGATCAGTTGACAAGGTTGCGAACCAAAAAGTTAGTCAGTTAATTATTCATGTGTTACTATATTGATATTGTAGCTCAAGAAATTGGCACGCGCCTACTCGAACAAGATTGGGTGGTGCACTGAAGGCCGAATTCCGACAGTGGAGGAGTACATGATCGAGGGCGGATATGTCACCGGTGGTATGCCCATAGTTTACGCATCTGCTTTTGTTGGAATGGGAGCAGACATAGTCACAAGGGAGGCTTTGGAATGGGCAAGTAACGGATCCAAAATGTTGAAATCCGGTTGTGTCATTTGTAGGTTTCAAAATGACATTTTCTCATACGAGGTAATTATTTTTGTATAGTAGCTTACCAAATGCTCACAAACTACATAAATGAGTGTTGGACTGCATCTCATATTACGTATTTTTGGTTTGTATACAGTTTGAACAAGAGAGGAATCATGCACCTTCGGGCGTTGAGTGCTGCATGAAGCAGTACGGAATATCAAATAAAGAAGCAGTTGAATTTTTGTGGAAGGAAATTTCTGATGCTTGGAAAATTATCATCCAAGAGTACTGTCAGAAACCGACTCTACTTCCAACAATTTTCACTGACCGTATCCTCAACTATGCACGTTCCATGAATTTGTTTTATGACAACGAAAACGGTGATTGCTACACAAACCCCCGTCTTTTGAAGGAACACCTCACCTCACTATTCATTGATCCAGTGCATCTTTGAAGAAGCCATTAGCCCTTAAATAATGTCCGACCTATTATTCACATGCAATGCTCTTTGTTGGTTGTTTTGTAAGATGTTTCTTGTTGTACCTTGCTTTTTTCTATCATAGACTTGATGTACGCTATTGTTCTTCTTGCTTATTGTTCTTCCCTTTGGCATTTCTTTTCTTTCTCGGTTATTAATTTTGTTGAAATAACTGTCATTTTCTCTTATCAACAACAACAAAAATATTGTCAATTTTTCTTCTCTCTGATAAGCAGTGTTATTAAAGCCGAGCCGCTCGGCCCGACCGGTAAAATCGCCACCCGGTCACAAAATCGGCTCGAAACAGTCTAAAAGCCGCTCCGGTTTTATGTAGCGGTTGGCGAGCGGCCGAGGCGGTTAGCCGTTCGAGCCGATCGAGCCGCTCGTCCGGTTTTTGCCATTCAGCCACTAAATTTAATTAAAAAAATTGTAGAAAATTGAAAATTGAAAAAAAAAACCAAAAACGTCGGGCTCTCAAATTGAATCCTTATTTCCATTTCACAATTTCGAAGGAAAGAGATGAGCTCTGATTAAGAAATGTCCACTATTTATGCTGATAACGGTTATTAGGTACCAGTTCTCTAACGGTTTTTAAACGGTCTAATGCCGGTTGGACCACTAAAGTGCGAGCCGTTCGTATTACCGGGTCATGCTCCGGTTCGGTTCTGACAACATTGCTGATAAGTTTAATGTAAGAATTTGTATATGGATGGTAACTGTGTCCAATACATACATACGATAAGTTGTGCTTAAAGCTTCAATCCACTAGCTAAACCTCTATAAAGGAATAAAGCTTCGATGCGACTAGGAAGAAATATGATCTAATCAAACAGCTGACATGGTTTTAATCAGAGGAGAGCATATACCTGCAAATTCTAGTAAGTATATGATCTAAGAAAATAGTCCAGGTCTATGTTCATAACGATCCTTCATTAGTAGATAATAAGGATAACACATGTTTTCTACATTCACTAGTATTGTTTCAAATGATGTTAATTAATTTTCTTTTTATTTTATTTAAAATGATCACGTAATTCATTCAATTAGACAAAATAGTAGAATTGAGTACTAGCTAATTAGATATTATTAGCTAGGACTTTGCTACGGTGACATAACATGGACTTTTCGGTCGACCTAATATAGGAATAGGTCGACCTAATCTGTTGTTTCACTTTTGTGCAAGGTTGTCAACCCGCGGGTCGACTCGTGGGTTGACCCACTTTGATCCTGACCTGGTGAGAAAAACGGCCGGCTGCACGCACCCGCCGGGTCGACCTCTATAAGGTACCGGGTTGGAGGTCAAATTGTGTCATTTTTTTCTTTGTTTTGCGAAATGCGACTATTTTCCAATTTTTCTTTTCGCCTAACTCAATCTTTGGAATCCTAAGTTGAACATTTGAATATTAATGTTATATAAGTGTGTGTGAATTTTTACTATATGTTGAATCTAAGTACGACGTGTTATTTTGGTGTAATATTATATGTTATAACTCATATGTTAGATGAGATTTTATATAATCTATCAGGATAAGTACAATATAATGTCGCTTTTCATATTTCCGGGCTAAAACGGGTGACCCATTAACACTTGACCCACTAGCTCAACCGGGTCAACCCGCGGGTTGACAACCTTGCTTTTGTGAGATTCAACGACGCGGTTGACCTTCTATAGCAAATGGTCGACCTCTTTAAGAAGCGAACATAATGAAAGGTCGACCCAAAAACCTCATAGGCCGACCATTTTGCACTTAATAGGTCGACTGCATAAGTACAAGGTCGACCGCGTGCACACCGTATCCGTATTGGATAAGGATTCCAACACCAGAAAGGTAACCCTAACTTATCTACCACTTAATTCGACCCATTCACGTCCTAAATATCTATAAATACGAATATATGCCACCTTCACCCCCACTAAAGCTCTGAATTAGATTTTTTTTCACGGTTAGAGCTTTTGTGAAGAAGATCATTTGCGATTGTTGTTGTACGTGTTGCAAGTGAGAAGATACAAGTAGCTTCTCAAATTTGGTTTTGTGTGCAAAAACGAACCGAACCGAATTATAATTCGATTTAAACTGACCGAACTGAATCAAAATTCGGTTCGAATTCAGTTTGAGGTTTGAGAGAATTCGGGGACCCGATATTCATAATTTCGGTTTGGTCGAAACCGAACCGACCGAATGCCCACCCCTACTAAACCCTACTCCAGCCTCATTCTCTATCGGTGGTACCCTTCCTCCGATGGCGGCCACCCACCACTTCGGCTGCCCTCGCCAACCGTTGTGGGCACCCTCTCTCTCTCTCTCTCTCTCTCTCTCTCTCTCTCTCTCTCTCTCTCTATCTATCTCTCTCTATATATATATATATATACCCTCTGTCTCTCGCTGCCCTCTCTTTGGGAGACGGTTGTGGCCGGAAAAGGTGGGATGAATAAAAAAACCTAGATTTGATTTTTTCCCTCATTGGTAGTGATTTTTTCGCAGTGGTATTGTTTTTTCGCGCATTGGTAGTGATTTTTTCGTAGTGTTTGTGTTTTTTGCATTGGTATTATTTTTTCCGCATTGGTAGTGATTATCATATAAGCATATTATTTTTTTGTGAAATGGCATTGTTCTTTTTCTGTAGTGGTAGTATTCTCGCATTGGGTTTTTTTTCATTGGTATTGATTATCATGTAATGGTATTGATTTGCATGTATTGATATTGATCAAATCTGCAATGGTATTGGTATTTTGTGAAATGGTAATGTTTTTTATTTTTCGAATGATATTGGTGTTTTGTGCATTGTTAGTGTTTTTTTAAAGGATTGGTATTGTTTTATTGTTGCAGCGGTATTAGTTCCGCTGAATGACAATAAGGAAAAGATTGAAAAAAGGATGGAAGAGAGATCTGACTGGAGATTGTGGAAGTGAGAAAAAATTGTAATTAATATATTTTTGTAACTTTCTAAAATATAATTTATTAAAAAATGTAATTAATAAATATTTTGTTATACCCAATTTACCCTTAGTAATCAATATTTTACAGTAATCACAGTAACCTGTCACAGAAAGCATCTCTTCATTTGACCAACTCAGTACCTAGCTAGAACAGATTGGTAAATATAATACAAAAATTGACAATACAGCGATCTCTAGCTACCACAGCTCGCTTTTCCCAATTGTTGGCACACATGACATAGATAGATTTCTTGCCGGCAGAACTCGATCGATCGGCGGGTTGTGTTGTGGCAGTCGACAAAAAATCAACGGTGTAGATATGCATGCATGCGTTAATCTGCGGCATCCTCGTATAGCACGTACTGCTCAATTTCATTTCATTTCATTTGAGAAGCATATCACGACGTTTGCAGCCCATTTCCCATTCTCGATGAAGCAGCTGGTGCTTCAAAATCCTTACACGTGATTGACAGAAAACAATTAATGACTAGCAATACTCATATCAGTTAATCTCAGTAATTTGGAACATTCTGATGTGCTCAACAATTTAGTTGAGAAATATGTGAGAAAAATAATTGTTTTTTTTAGCAAAATACATTTGTATGTGTATAATCGAGTGGGTTCGGATTGGATAGTGAGAAAATCATTCATACTCATGACATGAAACATTTGAGTTCGAGTTCTACCCATAATCATTAAAAAAAAATCACCCATCCAATTAGATCAGATTCGTATGGGTATCCACGCGAATGGTTAGCCTTAAACTCCACTAAGTCGAACTCAATATTTTAGAGTTACCACTCTGCAGGTATTTTGGTTGATACAGGCAGGCTTTCCTCATATGGGCTGAATCTGAAAATTTAGTCCGTCATCATCAGGTTTTCATCTGTCTTGGGCCTCCCTCTTTCCACGATCTCTTGAATCACTTTCAGGCCCACTGCTGGCTGGCTGCCTACAATCATGGCCAGTTGTTTTGTCATCAAGTTGAATGATCTGTTTTTTTTTTTTTCGAGTGGTGTAGCTCGATCCCACTTATTATACGTAATTTTAATGAATAGGTGTATTCCCGAGCGATTTGGTTAGGATAAATAATACCCGAAATTCAAAGTTGCATTATGAGTTCAGACATCATGCACAAAGTATTTTAATGCATCCTTTAATTTGGTGTTCCTCTTCAATTTGTACTTGAAACTATTATTTATTTCCAAACAAATTAATATCAATCCAATAGGGAAATTTTTCAAGAAAGGGTAGTATTGATATAAATTCATAATTAAGTTTCTTAACAACTCAACTCAAGTTATTGAGATAAGTTGGTTATTAACATGGTATTAGACCATTTAATTAAGAGGTTAGGTATAGTATATGTACAAATTAAACTTCAAATTCCTTAGTTATCTTTCATTTTGGATACACCGATAAAATAGGGGGAAATTGTAGGGTAAATTGCCACACCACACCATCACTTCTCATATTTCTTTCATTTTGCTTTGTAATGATCAGTGTCAATTTTGCCTACAAACATCGTACTACACTTATATATGGAAATAGGGCGCCGGTCTTTCCCATCCTTAGTTGTTGTCCAATTAATAATCACTACTTCTTCCTTCCCATCACTATGATTACTTTTTATATATATATATATATATATATATATATATATATATATATCATGATTAGTTTTGACTTATAATTAAGTGACCTCTATGATTACCGATTAACCTGTTCCTTTCCCTTCATCGATTTGCAATCAACCCTTTTCTTGTTCCCTCCCATGTTATCTCTAGGGGGAATTTCGGACCAGGTCTTGCTATTATATTAATACTTGATCAACAGTTTTTTTTTACTGATAAAAGCATGTACACTTTTTACTTACATAATTTCATATATTTAGTCACAAGTCAAAATAGATTATGAAATCTTAGTAGAAATTAATCCTATCGGTGAGACTAACAAGTGAAAGTAAAATTAAAGTAACACAATATAAGATTATAATAAAATCATTTTAAAAGAATTGCCAATACGTATTTTAATCTACAAAATCGATCAATACCTCCGGATATCAGCCATGTTTCCATATAATGGGCAAGTGTTCTTGGTCTCCTAACCCTAGGGAGGATCTCGGGAAAGGGGCACGTGCATGGCATTGCGAAAAAATGATGGTTCTCAATTCATAGATTCACAGGGATTAGAAAACAGAGAAGTTCTTTACTTACCTTTTTACCGGCGGTAAAATTCATTTCCCTTCATATTCAAGGCACAAACTGGTTATTTACTAACCTTGAGTTCTCATGGACGGGTTGGCTTGTATAGATTTGTGTGTGAATTTATTTATCGAGAGCATTAAAGTTACGTTAGTGGTGCAAACAATTCTCCCATCCCATCCCATAGCCACACAGAGATGCCTACGTGAATGTGAGGCAGCTAGCCTTCCTTCACTCTCACGCCACACAAATTTCTATAATATATTATCTTTCTCCTTCTTATTATCGAGGTTTTCCTAGAGAAATTTGATATAGGAGTTTGTATGACAAGCAATTTTTGAAACACATTTGATTTTAATGAAAGTTGAAATGTGTTATAAAATTTTATGGACATAGATTCATTCAAATTCAATCATAGAAAAAACAAATTAGGATCACTCGACAAATTTCTTATTTCTTTTTAAACATGGTCTTGGAAGCATCTTGTCTCAAAACTCACCATAATTAAATGCCATTCTCTTCCCATAAATAACAATAACATGAGTCGTGGGGATGATAGCATTCGCTATACATTATATTCAAATCTTGGGGGCCAACAATTATCATTATATAAATAAAATCAGAGAATGAGTTGTACACTCCTAAAGCGTACTAATGCTCAAACTCTTGGAATTATAAAATTGAAATACTCATCATCCACATCCAATCTAGATACCTAACCTACTCGTGGGATTCCCTAACTTGCATCAAACACGGTTGTCTGGAACCAGGAACTTGAAGTACTCCCCATTTGCATTAAATCTAGATACATGACCTACTTGTGACATTTCCTAACTTGCCCCAATCCGATAGCAAATTACTACATAAAAAAGAACGATTGCTCCAATCCGATAGCAAATTACCACATAAAAAGAACGATTTCAATGAACGTAACTCCTACTCAAAAAATAAATCAAATTACCTATATATCACTACTCTACCATTTCTTTTCAAGTTTGAAACAACTCAATTCATGTCCACTATAGTATTGATTTACTTTTAGTCACTCCCTCCAAATTCTTTTTGTTTTCACCCATTCAAAATGCCATCCAATCATCAATCCCAACAAAGCTACACAAAGAGAAAGAGAAAAGAGCAACCCCAATCCACCATCTTTATTCACATGGGGCTTGGGCTTTATATTTGGGTTTTGCTTTTGCTTGCTTGGTGAGAGGAAGCCATATAACTACAGCAAAATACTCAACATGCAGCTGAGATGAAAATCCATTTTACTCTATTACACCACTTCTGTTAGCATCATTATCGAGTTGGTATAAGGACATTCTTATGTTAGTAGATCATGTGTTCCACAAATCATTTAAGTAATTGACATATGAACTTTTTGAAATGGTGATTTATTGAACATAAAATTCAATCATATAAAAATAATTCTAGACCAAATGATCTATCATATTCATATTTACGATTTACGATCATGCTTCAGATAATAATGCAAATTTTAAGGGGTCGTTTGGAAGTTGCGATAGTTTTGTTGAGATTGTCATTATGCATGTATTGTTTACAATGCATCGTTTTTTTGTTTTTTTAGCAGAAACAATACATGGATTGTTTCTGTTATGTGACAGAAACTATCACTCATTTTGAGTGATTGTTATATCTCAACTTTTAGTTGTGATTGTTGAGATAGTTGAGTTGATATTGTTTTATCTCAGCTTTTAGCTGATGCGACATACACAATCACACATACCAAACGTTGTATTCTACAATGCATCAAATTCGACAATACATGTATAATATTATACATGCTTGCTCAACAATACATTTATTTAACAATCGCAACTTCCAAACGACCCCTAAGATGTCAGGTTCAAGTTACACTCTTCAAATCGAGTTTGTATAAAGTCACATTTTCTTAATAAATCTTGAGAAAAAATGATACATTCAATTGGAAAATGAGAGACCCTACCCTACCAGTCATTACAAGAGAAATAATTTAAGCTTCAATGTCAATCAAATTCCCCCCTGCCTTTATAACAATCTACTGATCATATGATATGATATGCCCCAATGTAAAAGCAAACTCTCTCTCTCTCTCTCTAAACATAGCAGCCACATTCTTCTGGCCAGCCGAGGGATCCAATAAAAGCAGATAGACAAAAGGGAAAAGGAGCTTCCCCTGCTGCCTTTACTTTTCCTCTGCAGCAAAAAAAGAAGGAAGAAGAAGCAGGTCTGTTTGTTCTTCTGGAAACCTTTGGGATGTTTCTTTCCCCTTTCTCCTCCTTCTCTTTCTTTCTTCCTCCCCTTTCGTTTTGATGAACAGTGAAGAAACTCTGCTCCGTTGGAGGAAGGAGGAAAACAGAGCAAGTTCAGTTGGGTAGAAACAGGGGAGGGAGGGGAACAGAGTGTAAATAGAGGGAGATGGGAGGGGTTACTTCATCGATGGCGGCGAAATTGGCCTTCTTTCCGCCGAACCCACCATCGTACAAGCTGGTGGCAGACGAAATGACGGGTCTGCTGCTGCTGAGCACTTTCCCACATCGGGAAAACGTGGAAATCCTGAAGCTGCCGACGAGAAAGGGGACGGAGGTAGTGGCGATGTACATAAGACATCCCATGGCTACTTCCACTCTGCTTTACTCACATGGGAACGCCGCTGATCTGGGGCAGATGTATGAGCTCTTCGTCGAGTTGAGCATCCACTTGCGGGTCAATCTCATGGGGTAGTAAGACTTAAATCCTTTCACCATAATACAAAATACGTCTTTTTCTGTTTTTCATTTCTTACACGGTCAATTTTGTGCCAAATAGGAGAGAGTCAACAACTAGAACTTGATGGTTGAAAGGTCTTATCTTTGAATGCTGACGGTACAAGGTTATATGTTGAACAAGTTGACGATGAGTCCGTGGATTGATTTTCATAAGATCCTAAAGCCGTTCCTCAATGATTCAAGTTATTGATACAAAATTATATACTTAGCTCTGAGTGTTATCTGAATACTGTTAAATGCAATGAAGATTAGTTTTTATCAGAAAAAGTTCAAGGCTTTGTGTTGTTTATCCAGCTCAATCCTGAACTTGATGCAGGTATGACTACTCTGGATATGGACAATCATCTGGAAAGGTAATGTTGATTCATTACCTCATTTACTATGTGTGGTGTACATGTATTGGCATGATGCGCATGTTAGAGAATAATGTAAGAGTCTTATATGAACTTTTAACTATATCTGAAATGGTGTTATGAACATTCAGAAGTATGAATTCAAATAACCACTTACAACCTAAACATGAAAGTACTATATGCTACAAATTTTGAACTTTGGGGTACAAAGGTGCTGTTTAAAAGGGCATACGAGAGAATTGTAAGGTAAGAAAATGAGACAGTTTAGAACTTCTATCAACAACTATGCGAGTTATTACGACGAAATCAGTTCTTGACATGATATAAGGAGTCCAAGATCATCAAAAGGTCGTGGGGTTTCCAAGGACTTGAGTTGTTACTATGTTTTTTGGTGTAAAGGCCATTCATTTTTTTTTTTTGGATGTTGCAGCCAAGTGAACAGCACACATATGCAGACATTGAAGCAGTCTACAAGTGTATGGAAGAAGGCTATGGTGCAAAGCAAGAAGACATCATCCTTTATGGGCAGTCTGTTGGCAGCGGGCCTACACTAGATCTAGCTGCCCGACTGCCTCATCTAAGGGCAGTTGTCCTGCACAGTCCCATACTTTCAGGGCTGAGGGTGATGTACCCTGTTAAGAAATCTTACTGGTTTGATATTTACAAGGTACTACTGTAACTATCCATACTCTATCTATCACTATCCTTATCTTTTTAATGTAGCCATGGGAGCATTATTTGGTTTATTCCTTGTGGCAGAATATCGACAAGATTCAATTGGTCGATTGTCCTGTTCTTGTGATCCATGTAAGTATGTTTTTAGTTTACTGTATTTCTATATATGACAGAGCTTAGCAGAACCACAGTACTAGGCTAGGCTATTGCTCCTTCAAAGAAGGGATACCATAATTACCTCCACAATTTGTGAACTCCTTGTTTACTCATTGGATCCCTTTTCCATGTTTCCTTGTTCGATTCGATTTTGTTTCAATGTGTTTGGTTTGATGTATTTGATTATGGGGATAGTTTATACGGTGAATTGGGTCAAAGTCTTCCATAACTATCATTTGAATATGATCCAAAGTCTTCCAGAAATACATGTAAGTATACTTCAACCTCTATTTGTTTATTATAAGTAATGCCAAAATCCCTCAAATGCAAACAAAATGACTGCTGTCATGTTGGTCACTTGCTGGTAGACCAGCTTTCAAAACTTAGAAAGCAGCCAAAACTAAAAAAATTCAGCTGTTAAAGACAATATATAATATACAAGCTGACCCCTGAGAACCCAAAGTTGATCACCTACTTCAAGTACTAGCTGAACTGGCATGCTTCTTTCCTGGTCTATATTTTGATGTTCTGTGTTGATTAATGGATTATATAGGGAACTGCAGACGAAGTGGTAGATTGCTCTCACGGCAAGCAACTTTGGGAACTAAGCAAAGAGAAGTATGAACCACTGTGGCTCAAAGGAGGTAACCACTGTGACTTGGAGCACCATCCAGAGTACATCAGGCACCTCAAGAAGTTTGTGTCGACCGTGGAGAAACCGCCTTCTCAAAGGTACACCGGTTCGAGGAGAAGGAGCACGGACCAGCAGCTGCTGCCTCCTCGAAAGAGCACTGATATTGTGTTTGAGGCCTCGAGGAAGAGTACTGACAGAAGGGAGAAGCCTAGACACAGCACTGACAAGGCACTGCCCCCTACTGATGTCAACAAGCTGCTGCTGAAGAGCAACAGCAACAACCTCAACGAGAAGCTGGAGAAGCTGAAGAACCAATCAAACTATGCGGAGAAGCTAAGGGTTTCATTTGATCAGGTAGAGAGGTCGAGGAGGAGCGTCGACTGCTGCCTTGAGAAGTCGAGGAAGAGCGTCGACCACCAGTTGGAGAGAGGGAGGAAGAGTGTGGACAGAATACGGACTGGTTGACTTTTGTAGAGCTTCTGGTCAATTTGGTTTTTGTTATTTGTGGGGGTTATTGTGCTTTCGAGTGTGGTTTTTTTGTGCTTCCTTCTATGGTTGTGTAGCTGGGATGTCTTTGTCTCTATGTATAATATAAGAGCATGAAATGAGAAAGGTGGGGAAGTTTAGTATTGGCACATTGCACATGTTTTGACTCAATCTCAATCAGTCTTTATCTTTATTGTCAAGTAATAAACGTTAAACAAGGATAATCTTGAAATCCAACCATGAATGTCATCTATGTTTTCAGTGGATTCAGAGCAAAAAGAAAAGCTTCATTCTTATTGTGTAAATGAAGTATGGTACAATAATTACTATTTTCTACAGGGCTATTATGCTATTACATCATTAATCACTAAAACAAAATGCTGTTGCATCATTGTTTCACTAAACAAACGCATAAACTTCTGCCTTTCTGGTGCAGAACATGTAAGAAAAGAACACAGAAATCTGTTGCGGTAAGTTGTTTCAAACTCAAGCATTGGTACTTCCTGATATGTAGCTTTCAGTGATAATATTTGTATTAGAAGGGCAGTAGATTTTTGCAACATACCTTGAACGTCTTTGCAAGCATAATAGCAGCATCACTCATGAAGAGAAGTATTGAGCAGCGCCTTCTACCGCAGAGAAGTTTGGCTTGTGCTCGCCATACTCAACAATAGCAGAAGGTGGGAGACGTCCACTGCTGATCTCGTGCACTGCTGCAAAGAGTGGGAACAGCTCCAGCCACCCGCGGTTGGATAGAACTTCATATACCTCTCTTGCCGTTGAAACTCCCTTTTCGTATTAACATAAAGATTAGCCAGCAGCACAGATAGAGAAGGTAAAATGCAAAATCAGCAGGCTTCTGACAGAGTCTTTTACCTGCAACTTCTGACCCTGCAACATTTCTGCCTCTAGCTCATCGAAGGACCTGCATAAAAAAGGTTCAACATTGATTTCTGCGCTTCTCCTATCTTTGAATGGAAGTCTAGTCCAGAAATGGTGTTAAAGGTCCAACCTTTTCCCTCCACTCTTTGCAAATGCTTCTGCAACTCTTCTGTTTCTTCCTCCCACTGCACATATCATGTGGACTGATTCAGCATACATCATCCATGCTTTTAAGTTTTAATATAAACCAAAGACTGATAAGGATGCTTACAGCATGTTGTGATGAGATCTGCCACCCCACAGCTCTCGAAGAAGGTGTTGTCCTTAACAGTTGGAAACAGTATCTTGGAGAAGGCTCTCATCTCCCTTAGTCCAATTCTCATTATTGCTGCCTATTATTTGCTCCAAACAAACAGGTAAGGTGAGGTTTGAATGGAAAAACATATACCTTATTGCAAACGTTCCACATTTACCTTGGTGTTATTTCCCATTTCCAGACCATCCACGAAACCTGCTGCCAGTGCTACCACATTCTTCAAGGTCCCACATAGCTCAACTCCCTCCACATCTTGGACCTTTTTGTTCATTCATCAAAACATGGAAAAATTAAACATGATCTCTGAGTATACCCTTCAGTTGGCCACAAAATAATATGGTTACTGTTGGGATGTATTTTACTCACAGCTGTGACCATGAAATAAGGGGTGTTAAACAACTGCACCCACTTCTCTGCAATCTCTCTGTTTTCTCTGTATCCAACTGTCGCCTCACTGAACTTCTCAACAGCAATCTGCATCAAGAAAGCCACATCATTTCCCCACATTTAATATCGAATCACTGAACACGGATTTGACAACAGACGATTAGAAAACCGTCTTACACACCTCGTTTGCAATATTTGCTCCCATTAACACGCAACAGTTCACACCGAGCTGCTCAGAGATTAGACTGGAGATCATGCATGGGCCTTCCATTTTAACCTCCATTCCTTTGATGAGTGAAATAGCCTGAGAACCTTCCTTCACTTTCCCTACAAGTCTCTTGCATATTCCCTCCATGAATTGGTGAGGGGTCACAAAGACCAACATGTTTGCGTCCCTCACTGTGTAAATTCATTCATCAAACCAACGAAAGATTTCGATCTAACATAGGAAAAACGGGCGAAGTAAGAACGATAATAACCTGCATTCTCGAGGTCGGGGTCTGCAACGACATTCTTGCCAAGCTTTATGCCAGGGAGATACTTAACATTTTCCTAATCCCAAGGAAACAAGAGAGATTGTGATCAGTACAAAGAAAGGAATTAAATTGAGGCAGGATGATGGTGGCTTGGAGCTTACATTAGTTCGGTTAATAACTTCTGTCAGCTTCTCACCGCTAGGCAATTTCTCCTCGAATACCCACATCCTTACTTCATCTGGATTCCAACAGTTAATGGTCAAATTACATGAAAATTGATCCTCAAATGGAAAAATCTCTACTTAGCAAAAAAAATTATGAAGAGATTCTGAAACTAATCCAAATACAGAACAATAAGTTAACAATGAAAGAATCGTGAATTTAAGTCGGCTTATATGTCTCGTCATTCAGGACATTCTTCCAGTACCTAGAATCCAACCCTTACATAACCAAAAACAGCCCACAGTTCAGCTCCAGTCATTCTATTTGCTACGCCATGGACAATGCATGCAAGAAAAAGCTTCACTAGTTATCCTAATTCTCGTTCTATTTGATACTAACCAACCAAAGCAAGCTACTTTACTGAAAGGAAACAAATTCCACCCAATGCCGCAATCAAATACCAAAAAAGAATCACAACCCACAAAACCTTAGGAAGTTATACCGTGGAAAGAAGCGAGCTTGATGGTGTTGGAAGCGATGAGCTTGGAAGCCACACTCCCCCAGTTACCACTTCCGATAATGGTGACCCTTGATTTCTGGGCAGCAGAGGAAACGTCGCCGCCGACACCGGAGGAAGAGAGCAATGCGGCATTGTGGGAAGCGTTTTCCGGGGCAGAGGGCGCCATTGTCGTTGAGAAGAAAGAAGCGACTGCAGAGACGATTGCCGGTCGTTTCGGAACCGGGAACAGAGTGGAGGAAAAAGAAGAAGCAGGAGGAGAATAAAGGAGAAGGGAAATGAGATGGTGGCGGTGATTTAAACGCATCGAAGAAGGGGAATTGAATGAGAGGCAAAGGTAGGCGGGCGGAGAAGGCGGGGACACGTTTCGTGGGGAACGATGAGGGTTCGTTGGATTTTTGGGTGTAATTGATCGCGTCTTACATGTACAGCAACAGCAATGTTCCAATCGACAACGGGCGATTTGCTCTATGCTAGGAGGATATTGCTGCTCACTGTTTTTGTCCCGCTCTCTAGCCTAGCTTTCTTGTTGTGTTGCACACTTGCACTTGGTCCGCTGTGATTCGACCGTCATGTTTCCTTGTGTAGCTCATATTCCTTTCTAGGGCACCAGTCCATTTTAGGCCAACACCATTTCATGGTAGACTTGAAAGGAGGCTTCCATGAATTTGCCAGCTAGTCATAAGATAGGAGGTTTTCCTAAATCCTAACCAACATGATTATAGTGTTCTTCAGAAGGCTGATTAAGGACGGATTCATTATAATAAACAAAATATTTTTATTTTTAAATTTGTATATAATCAAAGGTGGCACCGAAAGTTATGTCATTTTAATAATTTTTACAATAACCTATGGAGTAATTTGCAAAAATTATCATTTTAAGTTACACATTGCTACAAAATAAGCGGTTAACTGGTCCAACTTTATATTATGATCGCTAAATTTCTTTGTTCTATCCTTTCCTCAATTGTTAATAGAATATTTTGTGGCAAATTGAACTCACATCTCAACAAATGTTTGTTTTATTTCGAAGTGATTCGACTTAGGATTATAATTTGTCGTTTCTTTTCATGATAATTCAAAACCTAGATGACCTATTTCATAATTCAAGAACCTAGATGACCTATCTCGAACTTGAGAAATTGAACACTAGTTTTGTTGGAACATGGACACTAGGAATTTAGGCTTAGCTTTTCTCTGGTAACTTTGCAGGATCCGGTTAAGGGGCTCGGGGGTAGGCTACAGCAGAATGGAATATTCACAGAATCCAAACAATCCCTTGTTGAGATACAAAACCAGAAAAACATTCTGCACCAGAAAGTTTGCTACTCTGGAAGAGTATAAAATAACACCATATGTTTACAATCACTAGTGATGGAAGAAGTGCATCATCGAGACATACGACCATTGTTTAAGGTTCCTCGAAGCCATTGTTAACATGCCTTCGCTTGTGAGGGGAAGAGTAGTCCTCGGACGACCACCAAGGAGCTGCCACATCAGCTCCGTCACCAGCAGCTCCTTTCATCTGATGCTGCTGCTCACCTGGAAATTATAAAAACTGCTGTTAGCTTGAAGAAAGACAATCAAAGATATATAAGAACCGTTAAACTTGGTTACGGTTCCTACCTAGCGAGAAATGTTGTATGGAAGCAACTGAGGAGGAAAACTGACTTAAAACCAAAAGGCAGAACATCATCTTGATCAGCAACACAGCTACCCTCTTCATGTCAAAGCTCTGCAGCAAAAAATGACAGGCATGCAAGTTTGCGTTCTTGCTGAAGCCCCTTTTCTACATTTCAAGATACCAAGTGGATTAACACTATTTGAAAGGACCCACCAATTAAAGAATTTTGATCAAAACATAGGTGAATCTTAGATTAGCAAGGCATATTTGATATAGGAGTGGAAAAAGGGAAGATTTTTAGTTGTGTGTGCATATGGGAACATGCTTGGGGGTTCTTTTTGTTCTTTCTAAACTTCTAAAGTTGCTTAATTTCTATCAAAAAAGGGTAAAGTGCTGCTTGGCCGATGGCCATCACATGGTTCATTTGCCCCAAATGAACCTTTTTTTCCTCCAATCCCAACATTCTACTGTTGAGAGCAGTGCAGTTCTAGTATCAGATCTCAGATTAATCCGACCCTAATTTGACAACTATTAACAAAACCAGACAAAAATCTTTTAGGTGCAAGCAAAGTAAGGTACACAAGAAACATCTGCAGGAGTTCCGAGGTTCTGTCATTCATGAAAATGAATGCAACGGCCACTTGTTTGTACCAACAAAAACTTAGAGAACTCTGTCCACCAAATCTTGGCGAAAGTGTACAATACATGATCAAGTTTATCTGAATCAAAATAATTGCCCTGATGGCTTTCCAGAAAAGGAACAGATCATTCAGTGGAACTACATGGTAATCGAAATACAATATAAACCATGTTTCTGGTTTGAACCTAAGGCACTTCCAACGGAACAGTGTGTTCTCTGATGTCAATCAAACAAGAAGGTATAATTGACAATCCGCATGTTTTAACCATTGGCTGATGGCCATGAATGTGTGTTCTCAAGGAGCTCTATCGAAAGGTTGTGTATCATTATAGCAGACATCCCAGACGGCTTCCATGGCATCCTTTGCAGCAGCCTCTGAGCAGTATGGGTTGCCCTTCATTGATTTCATGACCCTTCTACGTACGCATTCCTTCAGAGTTCGAAAGGAAAAGTTATATTAGATTCTGAGGTTCCACATGAAGTATCAGATCAGAATTCAGAGATGAAGAACTATGGTATGAAGTATGAAGCAGTGGCTATGGGCCAAAGATAATAGAGAATCAGTGGGATTAGGAAATGGCTAGTATTCTGCCATGTATCGAAGCTATATAGCCTAAGTATCAGAAATTCAAACACAGAACTGTGAATGCTATCAGTCAGATGTCAATATATATATAAGAATTTGGTGAAACTCACTTGTTCGTGACCTCTAATTTTCATGAAGCCACGGAGCAACTCCCGCTTGTAGTTACAATCCCCGCTTAAATGGCCAGCCCGAATCTAATATCAGAAGACAAACCAACAAAGAATCATCAACATTAAGTGTCAACTCAAGTAGGTTCAATTATAGCTAAGCAGCAAGCATTAAATTGACTAGAGACCTCACTACAAGCATGGTGAGCACAATTAGTCCAGTCCAAGTTTGCAGCACGGCATTCGTCAAAAGCATGGATAAGTTCATGGATGACCACTTGATTGACCTCATCTTGAATGTTCATTTGATTGCTGCAAACCTGTATCTGGAAACCCCAAGCAGACCGGAATTAAACAACTTGTGCCACCACCCAAATTCAACAGAAACGATACTTGAACCTTGCATTGTGAAAGACTGAAAAATTGAACAAAGGATATACAGAAAAGAGAGAAGAGCTAACAAAATGCTACCCCTTTACCGGGAGTGAAGCCCCCGCTATAACTTCCATCACAGTGAACGGCCTTGATGAATTTGTCACCAATTCCACACCCAGCTTTCTCCAAATTCTCCCTTAAAAATTTCACCATTGGAGCTGAAATGAAGTCGAAGAGGGGAAAAAACAGTCAAGAGTCAAGACACGAACTTTCCATTTGTTGGGAGTAAACTGAAGGTGCCCAATTGATTATTTTCCAAGAATTCAGAGGCAACTGAAATTAGAGTGAGTAAAAAGAAGTACAGAACCCTAAGAGCTCAGTTGAAATGTAAGAGAGAAAGAGAGGAATAGTTACTCCGGAGGCTTTTCCGAATCATGTCTTCGCATTCTTCGACGGTCCGGCCGGGGGATCCAGGAATCGAGGTGGGTTCATCGGCCATTGCTGCGTTCGATCGGTCAGCGACGGAGCAACCCAATTAAGCTTCACGGCTGAAGCAGGGGTTTTACGGCGGCTTGGAGAGGTTTTTTGGATTTTGACGAGAAGAAAAATCAGAGGGGGGAGAGAGAGATGATGACAGCCACGTCGGAGTTAGAATTCATGGGTTAATTACATAAACCATCACGGGAAAGTTCATTGACAAACTGATCATCAAACTATGAATTTATATCAAATGAATCATTGAAGTTAAGGATGATTATAAGCTTTTTGTCGACTCCATTTTCAAATTGAAAAGGATCCAAGGCTATGATGAAGATATTAGCCAATTGTTAAAGAAGAGGGAACACAAGATGTTCAAATAACATATTTTGTCGAAACCTTTTCCGAAATGATTTCATAATCCAATTTGATGTGTTTGATCGGCCTCTCATAACGTATTGGGTTATCAACATTAATATACGGTATAATTCATCGTCACAACGAAGTAAAGCTACATGTGGATGACCATAGTGCCATAAGTCATGATTAAGTGTAGTTTGGGGTCCGTAGTTACGAGTTTCGAGTTATTCTAATCGTGAATTATCTCAGTATAGCACACATTTACCATCTTTTGTTATGAATCAATTACATAGTTAAATTGATTTGAGAATATATATCATCATCTCATTTATAGACCGCATAATTAACCAAATTCATATATGTCCTTAAGAAACCGTTTGCTTACCTAATTAATTGAAAAGCTAAATATATGCATAATATTGTACATGTCTATATATGCGGTTTTCCAAAAATATATGCGGTTTTTTCTCTTCATTGGAGGGTTAAAAGCTAATCAACAACAAAACATGTAAATACACATTCCTTAACCACACAAATATGAAAAACTCTAAAATTTAGCACCCATTAAACTCGGTCAAAACCTAAAAACAACCCCAAAGGTGTAGTAATTTCCCAAAAATAGCTTCTTCCAATCTCAACCAACCATTTCTCTTTCCCTTCCATGCAAGCCATGCAAAAAAAAAAAAAAAAAAAATCCCCCATAAATTGCTCCCTCACCTCCACAATTTGAAAATGATTCTATAGCTTCTGCAGTGTCTTCTCTACTTGATCTAGAGAACCAACGACACTGCACCTCCTATAGAATCTCACCTCCTAATTATTAGACCTTATATACCCCTAAAACAAAAACAAAAAAGGAAAGAAAAAAAATGGCGCGACAACTTCTCGTCATTGCCCTCATCCTCGTCGCCGTCGTCGGCGCCCTCGCCGCGGACTCCCCCAAGAGCTCCCCGTCGCCGAAGAGCTCCAAGGCCCCCTCCGCCTCCCCGCCCAAGTCCGGCGACAAGGACGACTCCTCCTCCTCCTCTCCGGCCAAGTCTCCCAAGGCCTCCTCGCCAAAGGCTTCCTCCTCTCCGGCCAAGTCTCCCAAGTCCTCCGCCGGAGAATCTCCCGCCGAGTCCCCCAACGGCGACGACTCATCCTCCGACGCTCCTTCCTCCGACGACTCCGCCTCTTCCCCGTCCGGCGATGAATCCTCCGACGCTCCGTCCTCCGACTCCTCCGCCGGTTCTCCGGAAGCCGACGTGTCTTCCCCACCTGCCCCCACCACCGAGGCCCCCGATGCTGACGTGGCTGCGGCCGACGCACCCGCCCCTGCTAGCGGTGTCGATGGCTTGAAGTTCTCGTCCGTCGCTGGCTTCGCCTCCGTCGTCGTCGCTGGGCTCTTCTTCTAAATTTGAGTTCGCGATGCGGTTTTATTTGTTTGTTCTTTTTTAATTTGGGTTGAAGACTACGGATGAGAGAGCTGTTAAATATGGAATTAATTCATCTGTATGTACTCAACTTATGTTTAATATATGTTTTTTTCCTTAATTAATGAAATTAATATATTATTGGATACAAGAGGCGTGGCCAGGCTTCTGGTATCCCTAGCTAATATACATTTGGTTTGCTTTAATTATTTACCTACTTTTTCTGCTGGGATATTAGGTATTGTGTTCTCAATTTCATAGTCGTTTTTATTGCACAGCATATATATATATTTATATTGAGAGTAAATTGAACGTCAACTAGCTAGTTTAGTTGGACAAGTGTAAATTTGTTCATTCGTGGGTGTTTGCTCATTATGGTGGCAGTGATTTTGACTATACGGGTCAAATAATACTCAATTATATTTAGGCCAAATCGTAAAATATTGAGTATAATTCCATTTCGTTTCCAAATTAAAATTATTTTATGTCGTTTCGATTCCATGGTTTATCTTGAAAAACATAGAAAGAACAATGAAAAATATGAAAGTCATACCAATTCATATCTGCTGTCGAACTCTCTCACAATTGGGTTATCCATTTGTTCATCATGAACCAGCTGCATGCAACTCTATTGATCAACAAATTTTGCCCTATCCACCCAATCTCGAAAGTATTAATCTATTTTATCAAATTATTATAGAAAAAATTAAAAATTTGATCCCCAACTCGAACAATAAGTTAAAATCTCAACTTACTCTTCACGTACATGTGAAGAATATAAAATATTGGGCAGCCTTAATAAATTTTGTGCATAGAGTTATATATCTCATCCACATATTAATCTACGAATCAATGACATTTACGAATTTGAAGAACTTTCCATGTGATTTCGTTATCCCAAGACAACTATTTTGACTCGTCAAGTGACAGTATTTATATAATTCTTCTTAGAGTCAAAATGCTAGTTTGGAATTTTTAGATTGATGTAACCATGCTCAAATTTTCGGAATCAACCCATTGTACATTTACACAAATAGTTTAAAGTATGAATGAGCGACTTAGGACTTGGTCTAGTGGTATTATCATTAGTATTGAATTTTGAAGTTCTATATTTGAATTTCTCAAGTAATACTTTAATAATGATAACAAACATATATCTCCATTATGACGTGCCAAATATATGAACAATTCTATATTAAAATCAGATAATACATGAAAATTGAGGTGATATGTCCTTATCATAGGAGTTCGATCCAACAATAAAAGCAATGGCGGAGAGAGAAGGTTAGATCCACCCTCGATCAAGAGGAAAAATGGTAAATTAGGTATAGTAGTTAGTGGGGTATGAAAAATAATACATACTTACATGAGAATGATTGATCTTTTAAATATTTGGTGTATGTTTTATAAGTTGTGTATTGGCATATTCAATGTTTTTATAACAAGCTATGTACAAACGACCATGGTGCATATGATTTGCCTAAAACTAAGATATACTTATTCAATATCTACAACAAATTTTCACTAAGTCATAGCTAATTTGTAAAAAAAAAAAAATCAATCAGGGTTAGGGAGAGTATAATGGATGACTCTTAGTGACGAAAATAAGTAAATTAGTGAAATAATTGATTGATAATGAAATTTAGGGAACTTCTAATTGATAATGGTTGGCCGAGAGATCATGTGTTCGAATCTTGGCGACTCCATTTAATTTGTTAAGCATATGATATTCGAATTTGTGAAAACTTTAAGAACGTATAAGTTGATTTTCGTTAGTGGGGAAGTGTTGGTAAATACTAAATAGTATAAGATCCATTATTAAATCTTTCCCAACAACTCAACTTATTGATACTAAACGGTCTTGACAAAGAACACCATTCAAAAGCAAATGTCTAACTAAATCATGAATAATTGTTTTACACATGTAGAGTAATATTCTTGATAGTTTTGACATATATTTATTTTATCAAGTTTTTGTAAATATAAAATTACATCATAAATAAATTAAAAAGCTAACAAAAACTATTTTATCGTATGTATTTTTTTCTAAACGGACCCGCCCTCGGCAAAATCCTGACTACGACACGGAATAAAAAGAACCAAAATGCACAAGGAAACATGTACTTACAACAAAAATGAGTAGTTATCATGTAACTACACATACATATTGTTAGTAAGTCTAACTACCACTAATTTGGTAGATGATATTAGAATATGATTGTAGTATCATGTCAGTGTGCAACCGAACAGAAATTGGGATATTAGGATATTAGAATTTGTGACGCTAATGCAGAGTTTTAAAATCTCCCTATTCATCATTTGTTAAAATATCAAAAGTGTCTTTTCTTGGCTTGACTTTCTCACAAAACAGAATTTCTCGCAGCAAGCAAGCTAACAGCAATCAAACAAGAAAACAATATTAGGGGAAGCAGCAAAGATAAGATACCCCTCTGCCGGCCGTCTTGTCACTGAGCCGACCAAACTCCGCAACTATAAAAAGAATCTGTAACAGATGGAGTCATGCATTCTTCATGCAAACAGAACAGAAGCAGTTCCCCAAATTTCATCATCATCATGGAAAGATGGATGAGGTTGAGCAGCAGCCGCATGGCCATTATAATAACTCTCACGGTGCCACTCATCATCATCCTCCACATGATTACTCATACCCAAGCCCAACAATTGACGTTCATGTACATTTGCAACAAGGAGAAGTTCGACGACGGCGACCTCCGGCTGCCGTGCGCCTACAGTCTCCTAGAAATTTTGTCTCGTTATAGAATCGAGGGTGGGATGCCCGGAAAACAGGAATGCGCCGGCCCGGACTCGGGTGTCTACGGTTACGTGTGGGTGGATGTGACAAGAAGAGACGCGGATATTGCTGATTGTGTCTCCCTAGCTGAGGCTGTTCTCAAGGACCATTGCCCTTACCGCAAAGGAGCCCAAGTAAACGAAACCACTGGGATTTGTCGAATGAGGTATGAGCTCTATTCCTTCACCATCGCCGGAATTACTACTTGAAGGAGCTCGCCGGCCGGCCGGAAGAAGAATCATCCTAACACTACCAAAGACTTAATCACCTAATCCAACTTTCAAGATATTAGTGCAAGTTCCCCTCTCGATCACATCTTCCCCAAGATTTCAATTATTTTGGGCAGCTGATTTTTTTTTTTTTTTTTTTGGTTAGGTTTTCTTATCAAGTGGTTTTGGAACTTTTAAGATTGTTAATGCAACAATATGATATGTAAACTTTGGATACTAAATGCAAATGGTTGTATCATTTGAACATTCTAATTGCGTGAGAGCGGCGGCCAACTAAGTAGTTGGAAGATATATAAAATTCCTTTCATATATTAACACAATTCGCCAACTCTTTAGCCCCTACTTAACAAATTTCATTTGATCTACACTTGGTTTGTGATCCCATATTTTACTAGTTAGCTATGACCCTAGCTTCTTGTTTCCCGCTAAAAGGTTGCGCTAATGATCATGTTATAACCACCGTTATGCTATAATAATAATAAGCATCCAACTAGAAGTAGGCAACGAGTAATTGAGTTTATAATTAATTTGTCTCTTGCGCGCACGTGAAGATCGTGCATTGCATGGCAGGCTATAGCCAACTTTCTTCGTCCCGTGCGACCTGAAATTAAGCAGCCAATTACCACTCTATAATTATTAATTAGGATCACTGCATGAACAGAGACTCTTCCTGCTCCGTGATTGCCGCATCAATAATTATATACTCCATCTGGCCGACCGCCTCGATTCAAACTCTTTCTTCCTCAAACGTATAATCGGGTTATGCGGTGTGAATGCATGAAAAGAGGAAGCAAAAATAGGTTCTCTCATCTCATCGATCGATAAGGTTCATGATCTAAACCCTGAATTAGTGAATTCCCTTTGCCCATGTTCACACACAATAAGTTCTTTATCTGGTTTGTAATGCTAATTAAGCAAAAGCAGGCATGGCGGGCTAGGGCGGGGCGAATGATGCCGAATTGGTACAAGGCATGCATGAGAGCGATTTGCTCATTTGTTTCGCTTTTCATAGCATATAACAGAGTTTAAGAAGATATGTTCGTTTAGGTGAGAAATTTTACAATGCTATATAGTATTGGTGCTATAGGTTTTTGCCTTTATCGTACAACTTAAAATTGTACATTTACGTTATGGTACAACTTCAGATTGTACCTATATTTTTTGTGCAAATTCTTTTACGGTACAACTTGAACTTGTACCTTTATGTGATGGTACAACTTCAAGTTGTAAAGTTTTACCATAACATAATGGTACAAATTGCTTTATGGTACAACCTAAACTTATACATTTAATGTTATGGTACATCTTTGAGTTGTACATTAAACACCAATGCTATATAGTATAGTAGAAGTGCTCCGTTTAGGTATCTAAGCATTTCATGACATGTTAGACTCTAGATTATGCATAAATTGGTCACGAAAAGGCAAAGCAAAGCCATCGGTATAGTCCAATATTCCCCATGCTATGCTACATCATTCTTCCCCAACCAAGACATTATATTACAGAGGTCGTACTTTGACATGATGGATACTTTTTTTAGGGTTAATACCTTATTTTGGCCCGAACTATAACCATATAATCAACTTTGGTCAGTGATTTCAGAAATTAACATCATGGCCTCAACTATGCAGCATAAAGACTAAATTAGCCCGACAAATAGTTTGACCGTCAATTTGAACGGTCAACTCCGTTGACCGTCAGTCAACATGTCATGTCATTGCCTAGTCAGCATAAAAATCATTAAAAAAAATTTAAATTCAAATTATTTTCCTAATTTCTATTATTTATCATTTTCCAATTAACCAAAAAATAAAATTCTAAAAATATAAAATAATTTTTTGGGATATATGAAAATGATAAATTTTATAAATTAACCAAAATTATCAAACTAAATTTTATAATTTAAAAATTATGATATAAATTATATTCTTTTGGGAATTTTAAAAATAAAAAATAATTTGATAAATTTTGGTTAATTTCAAATTATCCAAAAAATAAAAATAAAAATATTTTATTTTTATAATTTATTTTTGGTTAATTTGATAGTAAATAATTTTTTTTAATGATTTTTAGGCTGACTAGGCAATGACATGGCGTGTTAATTAACGGTCAAACTATGTGTCAGGCCAATTGAGTCTATATGCTGCATAGTTGAGGCCATTAATTTTTGAAACCACGGGCCAAAGTTAATTATATGGTCATAGTTCGAGCCAAAATAAGGTATTAACCCTTTTTTTTAATTTCAAAAACAAAAACTCTTTTCCTTTAAAATTCCCGGCCTTGATTGACGCCGCGATTGGTACACCGTACATAGCTTAGCCCTCGCTCATAAATTCTGTAATATTATTATATATTATCGTCATCAAGTTCAAGGCCTTGATAATGATATGGATGCGACTTGACACCGTTGACTTCATGGTCGGTATAGTCAGCAATGGTTACCCTTCCGGCACGTGAGCGCACCGGCGGTGCTAGTCATGGCGGCGACGAAAGAAGCCGGCCGAGCGCTCAGGCTAGAAGCTCTGGCAAAAGTACCGGCCCCGGCTCCGGACTGGCGGAAGAAGGCCCCGTTCAGCAGCAAGTCGCCCTCGGATCTCCAGTTCCACCTCCTCCACTCGCCCTCCGGCGCGTCCTCGTGCTTCGTCACCTCCTTCTTCGAATGGTCGTTGGGCGCCAGGAACCTGTTCCCCTGGCTGTTGATGGTGGGCGACGCGCTCCCTCCAATCGCGTACATCTCCCAGTGCGTGTAGTCGTTGTTCGCCACGTGGAAGTAGCCGTTCCTGCACCTCGGCATCCTCTGCACCAGCCCTTCCCCGAAATGGTTGAACGCCACCGTCACCTATGTGTACGTAACAAAAAGTGGTCAAGTCTCCGATATCATGTCAAGAACCAGTTAATCCGCGCATTACGTACCTGCATGTTCCTGTCCTGAACGTACGAGTCCTTGTGCCCCAGCAGCATGACCTTATCGTGATGGGTGAAGTGGTTGTTCGAAATCGTGACGGCGGTCGAACCGTGGATGACGTCGATGAGCCCGTCCCTGCAGTTGGACATGGTGCAATGATCGATCCAGACGTGCTTGCTGGCGAAGACGGAGATCCCGTCGCCGTCCGACGGGGTCCACCACCCGGAGTGATGAGGGGAGTCGCGTATGTTGGCGTTGCCTCCTTGCTTGCAGTCGTGGATGTTGATCCCGTGGATTATAATGTTGGTGGCGTAGTGAATGGTGATGCACGGGCCGCCGGACACGTGGACGCTGGCCCCACGGCCGTCGATGGTCTTGAAGGAGTTCATCACCAGCTCCTGCTTCAGCGTGATCACCATGTCGCGCTGGAACGTGATCCACAGCGGCTCGTCCTGGATAACGGCGTAACGGAGGGTTCCGGGCTTTGGGTTCACGGCGTCGTTGTCGCTGGAGTCGGTGACCACGTAGATCCTGCCGTTTCGGCCACCGATGGCGTTCTTGCCGAACCCTATGGCGCAGTTGGCGAGGCGCTGGCGGTTTTTTGACCAGTTTGGGTCGCACCGCCAGCAGTCGTCGATGGGGTTCCCTGTCCCGCAGGATAAGTAGGACAGCTTCCTTCTTGACTCGTTCATTGCCCTAATTAACCAAAGAATGAGGTGAACAGTCGTGAGCTTAAGTTACTTAAGTGCATTATGAAGTATGGAACGTACGTACCTGTGGAAGTCTTGGACGACGAGGTCGGGGTCTTGGACGGAGGAGGAGACCAAATGTGGGTGGAGAAGAGAGATGAAGAGGAGGAGAAGAGGAAGAAGGAATGTGAAAGAAGCCATTTTTAGTTTCTCTTCTTCTTCCTTTTCCTTGTATGTTGATCAAGTGGTTTGGTCTAGCTAAGCTAGCGAGTAGTAGTACTTGTGGAAGTGGTGGATGAGTGGGGTTTATAAAGGGAGGTAAAAGCCGGGAGTGGTGGCGGTGATTAGTACAACCAAATTAAATGGACCGGAGGAGGGAAATGATGGGTCCATTCTCGTGTTATTTGCGGCTAAGTAATTTCAGGTCATAGTGGAAACATTGTTTGTTCGTTTGATGAGGTAGTTTAAGGGGCCGTTAATCACTCAAGAGGAAGTTGAGCTTGTTGACTATATGGATGAAGGGGTAGAAAAAAAGAAATGAATGAGATGATCCTTTTGGGAATGAGTAATTAGCGACTTTAGTACACAGCTCAAATGTCTCTCCCTTTCTTGTCGGTTATGGTTGATGAGTGGTGACTTTGGCGTTTGCAGACGTTCTTTCTTTTGGTTATGTGATCGATGGACAATTTTATTTGCATAATAAAGTGTTAGAAGATAGATGGCAAAAATTATGATGACAAGATTGTCATGATAAAGTTATATAAAGTGAACCACATATATAGCGTGCCTCGACATTTATTTAGAGTTTTTTATATTCAGTTTTGTATTTATTGATCACACAATTCGGTATAACTTGATTTATTTATGAAATGATTCGTCATATCTATCCACCTCTAATAACAATGCTCTGCCTTCATGATATATATGCATTACATATATCTGCCCTTTTACTATGTTATAAAGTATTGATGTTTTAATGTACAACTTGAAGTTGTACCATAACATTAGATGTATAAGTTCAAGTTTAATGTATAACATATAGCACCAATAATATATAGTATTGTAAAATTCTTTATTTACATCCATGAGGTTGAGCATAGTTGGACATTTCTTCTTTCAACTCTCATACTATAGAGAACTGTGTTTACATTTAATTTACTAATTGTGTTACCTCAATCAATGCACTAGCAAATATAGAAATGCTTTTATGTATTGATATGTTGGTCCCAACCCAAGCGTGATCTCTATTTTCTAATGAAAGAGCTATCCACATAACATAACATTCTTTGACTTCGTTGTTTTCCTTTAGTTATCGAGCCATGCTGATGGGACACAAAAGGAAAGTCCTCCACCAAAGAATACAAGAAAGTCTGTTACCGCAACCACCCTAACTCGGGAGGGAAAAAAAGATAAATTAAGTTTAACAGTTAATCGGGTATGAAAAATATACGTATTGAAATGAGAATGGTTGATCTTTCAAATATTTAATGTATGATCTATAGGTTGTGTATTGACATGTTCAATGTTTTTATAATGATTTAAGTACAAATTAAAGAAACATTTATTCAATATCTACGAAAAATTTCCACCAAATCATAGCTAATTTATAAAAATAATTTTATTTTAATCGGGGGTAGGGAGAGTGTACCGGGTGGCTCCTAATGACAAATGACTAAATTAGTATAATAGTTAATTGAGAATGAAATTTAGGGCACTTCTAATTGAGAATGGTTGACCAAGAGATCATGTATTCTAATCTTGGTGACCACAATTGTTAAGTACATGATATTCAGATTTGCGAAAACTTTAATAACGTATAAGTTGATTTTCGTAAGTGGGGAAGCGTTAGTAAATACTACATAGTACGAGGTCCATTATTAAATCTTTCCCAACAACTCGAGTTATTGATACAAACGGTCTTGACAAATAACACCATTCAAAAGCAAATGTCTAACAAAATCGTGAATAATTATTTGATACATATAGAGTGATACTGCTGATAGTTTTGACATATATTTAATTTATCAAGATTTTGTAAATATAAAACTATATTATGAACTATTTAAAAAGCTAACAAATCTATTTTATCGTATGTAATTTTGTTTTAAATGGATCCACACTCGGACAAAATTATGGCTACGCTCCTGTAGACGAACCATGCCCACGAGTCCATGGCCTCCCAAGTTACCGCTATTTCTCACTTCCACCAACTGCGGAGCCAAATGGGTTGGCTCATTAATTCTTGACATGTAGATCGATGTTATTTAACGGTGACGATGATCGATGTTATTTGAGTTGACTCGAATAGAACCTCATTGTATATATTTAGGCTCAAGCCCATTGATTCTGGTTGACGAAGTTGCAAAGTTCATGTCTAGGGCTCAATTTCCCTCTATCATCTTCTTTGACCAAGTTAAGGGCCCCAAACTAACTGAGATTGCACATATGAGCCTCGACAAGGCAATAGAAACAACGTAATCTTAATCTTTACCAAAATACACTTAATACGTGTTCTTTTGGATGAAGCAATTAGACAGTGGAAATTGGAAAAATATATATGGCATATATAAGACCTTCATGCTAAATAAGTGTCTATTGGGAAAAAATATGTGTTGCAGTTTTTTACAAGAGTGATATAGGTTTGCTTTTATGTGGTTAGGTATTAAATATTACATGGATTCTCAAGGTTCAAAATACCACTATACCCTGCAGATTCTTATTTTGCATATGTGGAGGTGCGATTTTTGTCCTACTTTGTAACCCTTATTTCTTGATTTTGGGATACTATCCTATTTTGGTTTGAAGTTGACGTAATACACAATTTTGGGGGAAAAAATTAAACAAATACAATTATGTCCGAATTTTGAAATTATCGGACAATTTTGACTCAAAATTCAAATTGATTGTCAATACTAACGATCAACTCTTTTAACTATTTACGACTCGGCATACATTGCTTATGTGGCTGCCAAATGTTGTCACGCTAGTCAGTCAACTACTATCTATAAAAAAATTCAATCAAAGGACCAAAGAAGCAAAAGAAAATTAGTTGTCAAACACTCAAAAGAGAATTATTTTTTAGCTGTCCTTATAATTTATTTTTTATTTTGAGAAATTGAAATGGAATAAATTTTTTGAATTAGAATCATTAATATTAATTATATATAGATGATAATAATTATCATAAATTGATAATAAAATAAACTATCCCAAACATCGTCGGTTACCCAAGTACGACACGTATAGTCGTGTGCAACAACGTGCGCTTGACACGTCTGGTCGTGGCCGGCAACACATTTTCTTAACGCTCGACCGTGGTTGGCGACCCGTGTATGGTACGTCATCCGCGGTCTTCAGTGAGTAAGGAGACAATGGCACAGGGGCGATGGTCGGAAATGGTGGTCAACCGTCGAGGGTTGCCGACATTGGTTTCCAGCTATGGCGACCTGCAATTAGAAATTGTTTGGAGAAAGTATTTAGAAAAGAGAGAAGTTTTTTGTTTGGGGTATTTAGTTAAATTTAATTTATTAGGGCTACAAATAACAATAGATATAATTCATTAAATTTAAAGAAATAATAAACATTAGAGTGTGAACATAGTTCGATATTTCTTCTTCCGAACTCTCTTGCTGACAATAGAGGAAAAGGATCTTGTGCATAACTCTATAGTTAGTAACCATGCATAATACAATCACAATCCGCGACATCAGCGCCCCTTCTCTCTCCTAAAAAGCCTTTAATTATTCTCCCTTAATTTGTAACGAATGATTTCTCACTTGTTTTAAGTTGTAATTTAAATTAATTTTTTGCACAATTATATCAGATTAATTGTGCTCTTCAAAATGACATTCACTTGATATATTTTTGGAACAAAAAAAATTGAGCAATTTTTTACCTATCTATACCATATGTCATATGGTATTGACTAGTATTAAATAAGAGCATACAATATGGTATGAAAGATACCACCCCATACAAGGGTGGTATAGTGTGGTATGGAGGTATGAAATTTCACCAATAAATTTTTGGATCCAATAGATCAAGATAATATCGTTCATTCTGAGCAAAAATTTCCGAAAACCGACTTAAAAAGGAGATACCATACCATATGGCATAGAGTTGGTAACGAGAAGTATGAATTTTTTTTCTAAAAGAAATGTTGAAAATTGATATCATTTTGTAGAGCACAACGAACTTCTTCCATCTGCGCAAAAAAATTTGAAAACCGAGTTAGAATGAAGAAAATATGATCCGATTAAAAAATAGGGGAAATAAAATATTTTTAATTCACAACCCTTAGATTAAAATGAATATCATATTTTTCCTAGAAACATATAAGATAGTTTATCTACTTAAATCAATATTAAAAAATATTTTCTAATGAAAGACAATATGTTTTTCAAGATGGTTATGATCTTACACATGATCTTAAGAATTTTTACCTATGTTGGATGATGATGGAAGGTGTTAACACTAAATTGTTAGGTTCTTCAATCTAATACAGTATGGATCCATAGATCTAACTTCAACAATATTACAAGTTGTCCTTCTCTCACTCTGCGTTGTCTTATCTCTGAATGAGTTATCGATGGTTGGAAATATGATAAAAAAGTAAGTTTTGTTTAATAATGATTTATTGATGATTGGAAGTATGATGAAAAAGTAAGTTTTTGTATAAAATATATATAAAAAAGTTTTGATACAATATATAGAAGTTACAATGAGATATGGTTGACCTCATTCTGATTGAGCAAAAAACAACAAATACTAAAAAAGTTATATTTACCAGCCAATTAGAATAGAGCGATGAAGACATACTACAATAAGTTTAAATACAAAACATGAATCATGTCGTTCCTTAAGAACGCACAAAGTCCATGTTTGATGTTAAAGTGATGTTGGATTATGGTGTGTGGGCCCCACGGATTATAAAATCTCACTTATTTAGTTGGAATTTTGTGGGAGGCTAAAATCCTTGATGGTAAATGACAAGTCTATCCTCATCTCTTTTCAATATCTCCTAACAAATACTGAGCTTTTGTTTAAGAAATGTATAAAAAAATCGCAATTCTCGTTAATTTGGTCTACGGACCTGAACGAATCGAACTGTTGCACCGCCCCTAGTTATGTGTTACGATTATATATTTTGGCAACTACTTACTTATAGTATAAATCATGAATGTCTATCTAGTGTGACTATCCAAAATCTCTCATTTAGCTTTTTATTTGTATGAATTCGTGGCACTTTACGGAATTGACATACGAAATT